AGCTCAAAGTTTTTTTCTTGTTCTCTGACAAAAACACTTCACGAAAACTAGTTTTAGAATTTTACGTTGTCGTTAATTGTAAAAACAGAAAAGTTCTGTATTACTATATGGAATAGTTTTAACACAAAAGTTGCTAGTATGACTAGATTAACAAGGCCTTGTGAATGTTCACAGATATTTGGGCGTCATTTAAAGTACTTTTGCAATTAACTCGCTGTCAAAATTGAAAATGACAGAAAAAATCCGTAGTAAGCTGAAGCTTTTCTACATGCTAAGGTGAGGATCACACCCAACCATAGGCTTAAATTTACCTGTTTTGTAACCCCGATGGCTCCCGGTAAACTCTACAGGAATTTGACGACCAGGTTCGCCCTCTGGCAAGTCTGCTATGAAGAGGTTTCCGCTTCTGCTAAGTCTGTGCTCGGGGATGTCCATTCGAGCGCACGCGCTGATTTCAATTGACTGTCCGGGAAAGTTGAAAAAAAAAACGGCATATCTTTTAGGTTCTAAATCGAACGTAGCACCAGTCGACTAGAAATGAAATGCACGGGCTTAACTGTTTAATTGAAAATTTAACTGCATGGAATCCACGATTGAATGGGTTGGAAAGTTAAATTTATAGTAAGTTTACCGTACCTCGACCATATTTGCTTTGTGACGGGTTTTTCTCCAAGCTTGATCTGTAGTCCTTAGTTCCTCTTGATATTGATCTTTGCTAGTTGCAAATGGAATGGAAAGCTTTAGAATCGACCATCTATTTATACAGGAAATTGAGGAAGTCAATTAGATGTTAATTGACACCAGGAAGTCCCCAGAGTCACGCGGTCCTCTTAGAATATGAAAGCGTCAAATACTTGAGTGACTCGCACGGATTTCCAAATAAGCTGAGCTTTTATCGGGTGAGAATAGTTTCTATGGCTGCCAATTGAGCATACGATTGGAAAAGCTCGCGATTCTGTTTCAATGAGAAGAGTGTTTTTCAAATTATAAGAGAAAACAAGTCACGCAAGTTAGTAATCTAAAAAAAGTTTGTCCAAAATAGACTTTTAGAGTTATTCTAAGTTGACTAAAAGATGTGTCTTTAAGAAACTGAAAAACTGAAATTTCCTTTTTGAAAGTGATATTAGAAATTAGCCTCTCTAATTTATTCTTGTTTAACAGAAGATGTACTTTGGGATCGTCACGCAACCAGCTGCGTGACATTCAGACCCCTCCAAAGAGTGGAATGTTGTACAGGGCAAAAGGATCATGTTCAATTCCGATTTTTACGCGCTGAATAAAACAATGGAGATTACTTTTTTTTTTCGCAGTAAATCTAGCCACAGAAGAAGTAAAAAATTGAAATCTATGTATGGAAGATTTCAAACACCTGAAAGATGCTAGAGTGAATTCTGTTTGAAAATGAAAATATTTCATTAATCCTTTTTACTTAATCTATTTACGGAATGTGGTCACATACGATATTCCAATTTCGCTCTCTTACGATTGAGACTAAGAGACTAGTTTGTAAAAGCAGTAAGGTAATGCATAATGTTACAATGGGAATGTTTTCAAGTCAGGTTTTTCAAAAATTTAAGAACACGTTCCTCGCTACGAAGAATAATTCAATGGGGTAGATGGAATCTTTAATGTGGCATTTTGACAAGGAAGGGCGTCTGATCCAAGTTAAGCCAAAATTTTGCAAGTCTACTGTGCTCACTTAACAGTTTTTCTGGTAATTCGACTTGACCTGATTGAAGGAACTATCAACAAGATGGCATTTGTACCATTCGATTGCCGAATCACGAAGGAGATCCGTTCATTGCAGTTACCTTTATTATTGAAAAAAAATTTGTTCAATGATTCTAGTTGTCTTTTTAGAACAATAGTTCATGACTGAGAATGAGTAATCGCGACGAGCCGCGGAAGAAAATTAGAGAGTAGGACATCACTGTATGACAAGTTACTAACTTAATAAACACTGCGGTTTGTTGATCCGAATATTTTTTGGATACTTTGAGAGAAGTTCCATTACTTTTCGATGAAAAAAAGACTCAATCATCACCAATCAAACCAAAGATAAATAAAGCAAGCAATTATGTATCATTTACCTGGTCTCTGGGTTTTCAAGGCAATCTCTTTTTAGAAAAATAGTTAATGACTGAGAATGAGTAATTGCGACGAGCCGAGGAAGAAATTAGAGAGTAGGACATCACTGTAAGACAGGACTATTAGTTTAATAAACACTGCGGTTTGTT